TGTTACATTCAATTATGCTATTTTTATGAAATGAACCTATAAATTATTTCAATAATGCAAAACTTAGCTTATTTGATAACTTTAACATAAGAGTCTAATAAATTAAGATCAAACTTAAGTCAATCAAAAAATTCTATTACTATAAAAAAAATTTGAATAAATTTAACCTTTAAGATCTTGTATCTTAATAGCAAAAAAAAAAAATTAACTGAGCTACAGCTTGGTGGAATTCTTTATAGTCGTAGCTGTGGTAATTTTTATACAACAATTGCAAAAAATGTTAAGTGTAGTAAGACTACTGTCCATGATGTTCTGAAATGATATGATAAAACAGGATCTGCTATAGCAAAAAAACAGTCAGGCTGCAAGCCCTTCTTTGGTGCATTGAAACTAGATGAACTTAAAAAAATGGTTACACAGGATACTAAACACCATCGTTTAAGCACCCAAGAAATTAAAGATTTATGGAATAAAGAAAAAAATCAATCAGTTTCTATTGTTACAATCTGTTATGCCTTAAAAAAAGCTGGACTTCGTTTATGTGTTGTATACCATAAGCCGTTAATCTCTAAAAAAAATAAAGATGAATAAAAAAATTGGTCAAAAGACTATTTAGATTGAAATCACAAATGGCATAACATTGTTTGGTCGGATGAGTCCATGTTTAGGCAGTTTTTAGCAAGTCACAATATATGAGTTTGGCACACCCCTGCTGAAGAGTTTGATGAATCGTGTCTTGTTCCTACTGTGGGTCAAAGCCCTGGTCTTATGTTCTGGACTTGCTTTTTATTGCATGGATTAGGACCGATAGTCCCTATCTATGGCAAAGTAAATGATGAAGTTTATGTTAAACTTATAAGAAAACATGTTCTTCATGCTGTATGTCGATTTGTTCCTAATAGTCAAGGTATTTTTTAGCAAGATAACACTACCCTCCATAAATATTGAAAAGTTAAAGCTGTTTTTAGCCGAGCTGATATTCCCATCCTACCTTGGCCTGCCCAAAGCCCCAATTTGAATCCAATAGAAAACATGTAGCAAGAAGTTGAAAGATGTTTGCAAAATTCTCCAGATAAGCCTACAAGTATTGATGACTTAGAAAAAAAAGTCATAGCAGCTTGGTATTCAATTCCATGCAAATTTTATTGTGGATTGATGAATAGTGTAGTTCATTGAGTAAGAGAATGTTATCGTGTTAAGGGTTGCTCATTTAAATATTAATTAATTTCGTTCTGCAATTAGTAACAATATTAAAATTATAGTTTATTCTATTATAGTATGTGCAATATGTATTCATTTACAATACTTATTAAGTAAATGTTCATTTGTAGTAGAAATGGCCCCAAAATCAAAAATAAGATTTAATAAGATACAAGTAAATCCCGATCTGAAAATTGATTGCATAAAAAATCTTAGAAGTTGTACATTACAAAATAAACTTAGTTATTTCAAAATCATATTTTTTTGAGCTCTTTCTAATTTCATTTTTTCTTTTAATGATTTTGATAGTATGTTAGGTGTAATGGCAATATATAAATAGTTTCTTTTGTGAGATAAAATCATGGGTAGTCTAGTTTATGTTTGCTATCACTTATAGTTATATAATTTCGATTACGTATTTATGCTACTAGTTAGCACTTAGCAGGGACATGAAATTATGTGATTTGTTTTAGTGCAATTCTTGAGAAACCATACTAAATCGCATAATTACATATTAATTTTTGTATAACTGATAACTCTCAATGAACCCAAATCACATCAAATTACGCTAAGTTACAAATTCTGTGTTCCTGGCACTTAGGTACATATACACTCATATGATAAATAAAAAAAGATGTAATGAAATTAGAAGTTGTATTACATGAATATGCTAAATAATAAGTGTAGCATAGCAAGAAACGTTCTTAGCTAATCAGATTCAAGATTTTATTAATGGTTTAGACTAGAGGCCTGCGTTGGGTCCCGCAGCCCAGCCCAGCCCGCAAATTTTTGCAGGCCGGGCCAGGCCTGAAGCAAAATTTTATAATTGTAGGCTGGGCCAGGCCAAAAAATTTGCAAAACTTTATAATTGCAGGCCAATGCAGGTCTAAAAATTTGTAAAATTATATAAGAAATTTTTGCAGGCCAGGCCAGGCCGGATCGAGCTAAAGAAAAAATTTAACATGTGCGGGCCGGGCCGGGCCAGCAAAAAAATAGTAACCCTAAATGCAGGCCGGGCCGGGCCTAAAAAAAATTTTTAATCCTAATTGCGGGCCAGGCCGGGCCTCAAAAATAGGCAATTTGCAGGCCCCTAGTTTAGACACTTGGTTTCACTACGTTCCTGGCATACCAAATCACAAAATATCAAAAATTACACTACTTTTTTAGATT